AGCTACACAAACTGTTGAGCAGAAAGTACTAAGTACTGAGCTCAAACTGAAAACTTGATTCTTATTATTGTCTCATCTTACTAAGTTCTCTCGCTCGGTGATAAAATCATTTAATCTGAATTTAGAGGATTTGAGCCATTCTGGAAATATTTGTTGACTTTGAGGCATTTTAAAGTTCTCTGAAATATTTCTATGTCTGGTCTGCTTAACTGATTTATCTGATCTAGCTTATCTGACTGATCTGATTTTATCTGAACTAGCTTATACTGATCTGACTTATCTGACTGAACTGATTTTATCTGAACTAGCTTATACTGTTCTGACTTATCTGACTGGGTTCGAAAAGATACTGAAACTCGGTTCATGCTCAAACCAGTATTCCGAACTGCTATTCTAGAATCGTCCAGACTATCCGGACCGATTCGACTGAACTGGACCGGCGGCTCGATCTGAGCAGGCCGGTTGCTCATCTGACTGGGTGCAACTCGGCTTAAACGTGGTCCGGGTACATACGCACGGACACGGCATCAGCCGACGCCCAACTTTTTCTACTCGAATCTAGAGTTCTTCCGGTATGACCGGAAAAAAGGCCGAACTAGGGTTTTCTACTCAACCAGCTATCTATCTCGTTTCAATCCAAAACTCAAAATCTAAGTTTAACGTGATTTTCTAGTGATTTTAGGCCCAACAACTGCAGGTAATTCTCAACCGGATAATATCTAGCAATTTTCACAAAAAGCAGCTAAAGCCCCAAATTATTAGGCATACCAAACAGTCTCCAAAATTAACGAAATTTCAATCATTTCACATTTAACATTTATAATATTTTTCTATAAAATTTCAACGCATTTTGAGGCCTTTAGCATTTTTTTTTTCAAAAACCGAGCATATCGACTACATATTTAACAAATCCGGTAAAAATAGTAAACGGGCACAAAAAATCACGAAACTTAACATATAATCTCCTTAACGTGAATAAAGTCCATGGTCAAAACCTCAAGTCTCAAATCAACACTTATCACGCTTAACTCGAAATTACTACGATCGACAATTTACTCGAAACCCTAGATCGCCTACCAAACGGACACTAAAAATTAATTCGATTATACCTTAAGCCTCAAGTCAACAGGAAGAATTTTATCGTATTTATTTTGGCATTTTAACACGTTTATCGAGAAGTCCCGATTTATTCGCTTTAAGCTCGTATGTCCCGATTTTACCAAAATTGCTCAATTTGACTCATCGTTTTCCTTATGGAGTTCAAGTCATCAAGTCTAAGCCTTTAAAATTCGAGTTTTTAGCTATTATACCTTTAAATCGTTTGGAAATCGGCGGATCTAAAAATAGATCGGCTAGGGAGAGGGAAAATGAAACGAAAAGGTTCGAGCTAGGGCTCTCGGGTCGGACTCGGACTGTTCGGCTGCTGAACGGCCGGTTTTTCACGTGTTGGGCTCGGGTCTGAGGAGCTGGGTATGGATCCAAGATGTCCGGGAGCAAAGGGTGTGAATCCAAGCTTGTTGCGGGCTTCGCGAGCAGATCGGGTCGTGGACGTGACCTGCTTGGACCTGCTAGCTGTGGAGCTCGGTTTTGCTGCTGGAAATGGACGGGAAACAAGCTGGAAAGGTCCTCGTCGCTGGAGATGACGTCAGCTTGGGCCACCGTGAGCTGGGGTGCTCGGTTGTCAGAAAATTAAGCTGCCGGCGGAAATGAGCAGGGTTCATATAATAACGTTGTGAGGGCTTGAGCTTTTTCGTCTGAAGATCTGCTGCGACTTGGTGGAGGACACGCGATGAATGACGAGCTAGAAGCTGGCGGAGACAACGGCGCGTGGCTGGGACGCCAGAATGGAAGCTCGCTGGAGATGGTGTGAGCTTGACGGAAATCGTGAGTTCTTGAGTTGTGAAAGAGGAGCTCGTCAGAAATGAGGCTGCGTGTAGCGTTTGAGCTTTGTCAACGTGAAAGAGGAGCTTCCGGCGGGGATGGCAGCGGCGGCGTGAAGGTGTCCGGCGGCGGTTCGCTGGAGCAAGGAGATGGTCGCCAGATTTTCTGGTGGTTGGAGCTTGAAGCTTGTAGTTGGAGAAGAAGCTTAGATCTTGAAGGTGTAGATAGGGTTTCTTAAGGTAGATGGAGAAGATGAAGAAGGTAAATAGTGTAAACATAAGGTCTTGCTTTTTGTGTGGTGTGAGCTAAGGGGAAATCTATTTATAGATGAGTCTAGAAGACTAGGGTTTGATGACATTTTTGGACTTAAAAATTGGGCTTGCAATTTAATCTTGACTTGGGCTTAAAATTGGGCTTTAGCTTGTAAGATTAAAAATGTTACTTGGACTCGGTAAATTGGACTCGGGTTAGGAAATTAAATACCGTCAAATAGACCGAATAAATAATGTCGGGCTCGATAAATTAAAATACTACTTGGCTCGATTGTTTAAAATGTCTCGATTAAATAGTTGGGCCCGATAATTAAACAATTAGGCCGATTTGTCGAAATAAAAATAGCCCACTTAAAATAGGCCCGGAATTAGGCTCGTTCGGGAATCAAATAAATTTCTGACTTTTTTAATACTTAATAAAATAATTAATCGAGTCTCAGATTTAGAATTTTTATCTCGTTTCTGAAATAATAATTCGAATGTTTTTCTTATGTCTTAGATTTGAAATTAAATAAATTATGCGATTAATACTAAAAATTCTCGACATAATTAAAATATTACTAATCCTGATGAATAAAGTCGAGCTACTAATATAATTTTTGGGCCGGGGCTTACAAGAGGTTTGTTGCAAACCGGGCTCAGAGTGGAAGTAAACAATGGAGCCTCTCTTACAATCAGAGATTACAACTGGATCCCAAGAGCAAAGGGGAGGAAACCACACTTACTAGATGAAGAAGAATGCAATCAGATGCTGGTCAAAGACCTTATTGGGGTTACTGGGAGGTGCTGGAATGAGCAGAGAGTGAGGGAGATTTTTAATGCTGAAGATAGTGATGCAGTGCTGTCCATATCAACTCTTAACCCCTGATGAAGCAGATTTATGGAAATGGGATCTAGAGCCAAAAGGGAGATTTTCAGTGTCTGCTTCCTATTCTTTTTTGATCAACAAAAAGCTGCAGTTGCTAGACATAGCAGAGGGCAATGGCACGATTGAGAGGGCAAAGAAGGTAAAACTGCGAAGTTGGAGGTTGCTGGTCCAAGGTAAAATAAAACACTTCGTGTGGAAATGTTTTAACGGCATTCTAACTGTAAGTGTTAATCTCTGCAAACGGGGTATGAGTGTAGATGTAATGTGTAGCAGTTGTGATGAGGAGCCGGAAACGATTGAACACATTTTTTTTCAGATGTAGAAGGGCTCAGACAGTCTGGAAGATAGCTCCAGTCAGGTGGGACGACACAGAAACCAATGAAGGAAGATTCAAAGATTGGTGGGGATGCGTCTGCTCAGTGGATAATTTGGAGACTTCGGAAGCCAGGATCCAACTTACGACTTATATACTATGGTGGCTATGGAAGTCATGAAACTTATGGAAATTTGAGGAAATTTGGAGACCGGAAAGGTCTATAGTGCAAATAGCTATGCGAGAATGGATGGAGTATGGTCAAGTTGCCGCAAAAAGGAGGAAAAGCTGTAACCAAGTTTAACTAGGCCTGTTATTCCCCTACAGTGCAGTGGTTATACCTGAGGAGCGGTTTTTCTTTCTTTGTAGTTTTCTACCATTCTTGATTTGGTTTGCTTTGGTACTGTGTCCTTTTTCTTTGCTGCTTTAGGTTTCAGTGTTCTTCGGCTACTTTAGTAGCAAGTTTGTTTTGGGTCTATTTGTTTCTAGGGCGTACTCCTTGTCAAGTACGGTTCTCTCTGGTTGTTTTCACCCTCGGCTTTTTCGCTTTTAGTTCTGGGCGTTTTGCTCGTGTGTCTGTTATATTTGGTTATGTATTTAACATTTGTAACTATTTTGGTGTGTTATGAGAATCCCCTATCGTTTCTGGAAAAAAAAAAAATTATATTACTATTATAGATACTTGCCTCTAATGACCCTACTCATAAACAGATTAGGATTTGTCAACACCTTCCAACAACTTCTTAACGATAAGGGCTTCTTGAAGGCCCTTATGTCCCTGAAACTCAACCTCCCTCAGCCTTAGGCGTAGCCGAACAAAACCTCCACAGCTTCTTAACAATGATTTTTTGGACAATTGGGACTTATATTTATGTATATTTGTTATGGGAGTTAAGATCTAAGCTACAACTTGTTGTGTTGCTTCTGTTGTTAAAAATCAATTAATAGGTTGAAGTAATCACTGTTGGTGACCACAATGCTACACATATAGTACTCGGAGATTCTACGGTCCCGTTACGGAACCACTCCGTCGGGATTTGTAACAGTTAGATTAACTATCCACGATTACATGATGATCTAACGGTTACAAATCACGACGAAATGGTTCCGTAACAGGACTGTAGCATTTCCCTATAATATTATCTATATAGATATAGTTAAACATTTAATTTTAATTACTATAAATAACTCACAAATAATTATTAATCACCATCACTTGTATTAGACTTACTATACATATCTCACCAATAAATATTGGACAAAATTTGTATCCACTAGAAGAGTTTTAAGTGATGCATGCAAAACAGTAACTGCACCGCACAAAACTCCCTACCTTTCCATGTAAGCCAATAATGGGGAGGCCTTCATATCTTCTTCCCTACCCACAAAAAGTGGTTCAACTGCAAATTCACATTCCTTTGTCTACAATAATTAAAATAAATTATTTCACTATTTTGGATAAATACATTTTTCTAGCTTTCTTCTCAGCTTTGAATTTGACATTACCATTTTCAGTGTTTCAAACAAAAGTAGATCACCTACTAATGCTCCAAAAATGGCTATCTAGCTTGCTAACCAACAATATTATTTAATATATATAACTTTTCATTAATTTGAACAACATATTTAATTTATCAAAACCATTGAATAGAGAAAGCTCATAATCATGGCCTTGATGGTGAAGCAAAATGGCATATTGTATTGTGTAGAAAACAAGTATTTAATTACAGGGCCGTGCCTGATTGCGCATGCACGGGCAAGCTTCGTTCACGGCAAGGGAAAAAGAAGGTGCATGAAGATGAAAGCGAACATGAACACGGATATGGAGAAGGTGAACGGGAAGAGAGTGACGGGAACATTGATCCCGATTTTGGAGAAGAGGTCGAATATTACTTTGTTGGGAGATGACGAATATTTGGTGGGAAGGTTCGTGGAGAAAGGGTTGGTGTTCAGGCAATCCTTTGTTATCAGGTCTTATGAGATTGGACCTGACAAGACTGCCACAATGGAAACTCTAATGAATCTTCTCCAGGTAATATGTAAACTGATGAGACTTGAAGTAATTTGTTAATGTATGGAACAATTTGAGATGAAATTTTTTTTGTTTCAGGAGACGGCACTGAATCATGTGCGGAGTGCAGGAGTGGCCGGAAACGGGTTTGGGGCAACTATCGAGATGAGCTTACGCAAACTTATTTGGGTCGTCACCCGTATACACGTCCAAGTTGACAAATATAGCTCATGGTAATTGGTATATATGTTTCACAATTAATTCCCCCTGGCCCTTGCTTTTTATCAAAAAAATTGCAAATTGATAAAATTGTTTGACAGGGGAGATGTTGTGGAGATAGATACATGGGCGGATGCAGCTGGTAAAAATGGGATGCGTCGAGATTGGATCATTCGCGACCTAAACTCTCGAAACATCATAACACGAGCAACCAGTACCTGGGTGATGATGAATAGAGAAACTAGGAGGTTAAGTAAAATCCCGGACGAGGTGAAAAAGGAGGTCCACCCATTTTACCTAAACCGAGCAGCAATTCCGACTGAAAATGCCGATACTGACAAGATTGAAAAGCTTACTGATGATACTGCTGCGATGATCCAAACTGGACTTGCTGTAAGTTTGCACATTTGTATTTAGCTCGATAATAATGTTATGTAATATGCAAAATATGACTAATATGACATATGATGACGTAGCCGCGGTGGAGTGATATGGACGCAAACCAACATGTCAACAACGTCAAATATATCGGATGGCTTTTGGAGGTAATTAATCTACTTACGGTTACTGTTAATTAAATTCTTCATCATCAATTTATATAAACAAAATTGATATATCTAAATGTTAATATACATGACATGCAGAGTGTACCAATAAAAGTCCTTGAAGATTATAACATGACAAGAATGACATTGGAGTACCGGCGTGAATGCCGTCAATCCAATGTGCTACAGTCCCTAACAAGCATGAAACAAAAAACGGAACAAGGGAAACTAACTAGTGAGAATAATGCTTTAAAATGCACGCATTTGCTACGAATGGAAGCTGATCAAGCAGAGATCGTTCGAGCAAGATCTGTGTGGAAGGTCAAACAACATAACCAGATGTTTTGATAATCCAAATTGTATTATTTTTTATTTTTAGAATTATATTTATTACGCTGATACTATATATATATATATAGGGTCGCGCTCTCATGAGAATGGTGCTTGGTGAAAGAAATGAGAATAAATCATAGCCATTAGATCGAATGATCTAATGACTAAAATAAAAGTCAAAATTATACTTTCATTAAGGATATTTTAGACATTACCATTACACAT